ACTTTATTAATTATACTTTAATTTTTACTTTTTATTATTACATTTATTATTACATTTATTATTACATTCACATTTATTAATAATTCAATTTAATAAAAAATTATCAAAATACAATTTTTAAACAATACTTACAAAATTATTTAATATAACGTTTATACTTACCGTAAAGTAGGACCATGATATAAATAATGATACACACTACTTTATATTAACAATAACAGATTAAATAATTGTATTGATTTTATTGTAGCTTCAAATTTATAAGTGTAATTAAAGAAATTCATTCTTTCTTCATACTAATTTAATTTAAAAAGTTTATTTCAAAGTTTTAAAGTTTGAAAATTAATATTAAAAAAGCATATCTTTGTTTCTCTATTAATAAAGAATAAAATAGGCATACGACATAGTTTATAAAAAAATCTATATGATTTTATTGTATCTATATGATATATATCAATATTTTCAAAATAAAGCAGTATTATATTTTCTAAATTTTTGGCGTTATAAAACATAGATTGTCACATAATAGCACTAAATGCACCGGACTGCAAATCTTTAATGAATAAATTAAATCGCATTCAGCAATTAGTTATATAACGGATATTCATGTATTAAGAATAGAGAATTCTTTAATATTCTAAGTACATGTGAAGCATTGACTTATGCTATAGACAATATTTAAATTTTAAGCAAAAAACTTTTGTATGTATAATATATTTGCCACATTATATATTATAAATATCTTTATTGTCTTCATTAATGAGCGATTAAAAATATCTAGTTACTTTCAACATGTATTATATTCAATGCTTTATAACGGTTGTTGAAAATTCGACTTCTAGTAATTATACATGAGTATTTATCAATCATTACTTACTAATTATTTTGACCTAATAAACAATTATCTATAATGGCATAACTATAAACTGATTTCCAGTAATATTTAATTTACCAAGAAAACGTACAACTTTAGAACACACCATAAGAATTTTGTCAAGTCGCTACCTCCAATAATATCGGTTACTTCGAACATGAATTCTCTTTCCTGCTCCTTTGGTATCTAATGACTTCATGATAAAGTTCTTCAGGCTTAGGCTAATGTGCACAGCAATTGTAATCGAAAAGCTTATAAAAGAATTAATAACATTATCACTTTTTCCATATTTAAAATATACTCCATAATCTCTGGCGGAATGATCAAGAATGTGAACACGGAACGCTGTGAGCGTCATATTTCGCTCTGTATTATAAATATTGCATTAATTATGCTGGCTGTATATTTACAAATACATACAAAAACACATAATACTCTTGTACGATTCAACGATAGACTATTTTGCAATTTCCTCGTCCATTTATAATTTAGTGCCCTTTATCGTATAAAGATTTTTCGCGCGTCACTTTCACGCTATGATGAATTCGGCGAAAAATCGAACAATCCTATGTTGCACTCACGATTCGACACCGTGAGGGAAATTCGAATAATTTTCAATATCGATGATTATGCGGTATTCCTCTGTAACCAATCGCGAATTGTCGCATGATAATTGTCGAGCCATCTTATGTTGGATTCTGCTCGCTCTACCGCTTGCTGTATGGTTCGCGTTGCAGTACCAAGTTCATCCAAGTGCTCCTTTGCAAACTCTACCAACTGAAAAAATAATATGAAAAGAGTGAATACATTACAGAATTATTTTTCTGAAAGAGTAACACGACATTCTTGTGAAAATTATGTATATTCATCCATTTATCGAGTTATCCATTTATGTATTTTATTTAAGAAAATAATTATATTAATATTTGCGCGTCATTTGTTTTTCACTAAAATTATTTTTAAGCTAGTTTTAGATCATTTCCAAAATATATTCACGTTATTACTACTGAACTTACAAAAAGACTTACATCTTTCATTTCGTATCTTGTACTTATTCCTCTTGTCGCTGACTTAACGATAGTATTAACAGTTGATAACGATGTTCCAAAACTAGAAATAATAAAATTTTATCATATCAAATTCACAAATAAAATAATTTAATCCAAGACAAGACTCAGTAATAAAAATCATAACCAATAATAAAAATCTGATATTTCTTAATTATTGATTGAATTTTAATTATTAATATTCCCTATTTGTATAAATAAAACTTTCCGTTATAGAAACATACAAATACAGAATATACAAACTTATAAATAAAAATAAAAGAGTGACAACTTACTATTCCCTAAGATGCGTCCATTTGTTTCTGAAGTAATCAAATGTGAGCGGTTGCCCGACAATGTTGTTGGCAACTGATCCGAAAACTCGGGTAGCATCCTGTTTTCTAATTCCCGAATTTTCCGTCACAGCCCAATCCAAATATCGATTCAACAGCCATATCTCTCTTGTACAAGCTAATGCTTGCAAAAGCAGATCCTTCTCCGATCCTACATTGGTCGCTAGGTATCGCTGCCAAGCGAATTCCCATTCGCTTTGTCCACCCACTCGAATGGCTGTACAATAAACTACGCGTCTCAAATTCGGCGAAATCCTAAATATAAAATTTATAATATAATCGTTAATATAATTAAGATATACATAAATGACTTTATTAATTCTCTAAAAATAACGATGAATTTAGAACATAAAGATTAATATGCATCTTGATTATTGCAATCATCTTATGCATCAAAGAATGCAACAGTACAATGCATAAATAATCTAGTCTTGAATAATATGATATTTACGGATTGTTAATGTCCGGATTAGGAGTATTACGCCAATTCTTGAATTGTTGCATGGCATTCATAATGCAATCCTCATGATTAAAATTACATGCCCAATTTAAAACGTCAATTCGAGTGAAGACTGTCAGTTGAGGATCTCCCACTTTGTCAATGAAGCCAACTTGCTTATACACATTGTCGAGCAATTTTAATATGTATAACTAAAAAATATTAAAAATTAAATAAAAAAAAAATTAATAAAGTATTATTTATATTTTATACTAACATCATGGTACATCTAATATGTAATTATTAATATTTTTCTTACAATCTCTATTCAATATCTTTATCATTAATGCAATTTGATAATACATACCCTGAATTTGTCATAACCTTGTGTCTTAATTAACATATCATTGAGATAATCCATGGCATTGAAAGCTGCATTCCAAGGCAAGTACTCGATTTCGTGAGCTAAATAAGATGTAACATCGAAAGCGATAGTGTAGTCGAGTTTGCCAGCTCTAGCTAAATTAAGAGCGTCATCAATCAACTGCGCTCGGTTAATCGTCGAGATATCTTTAAAATTTTCCTTATTCAGTTGTTTAATTATCATCTGCCAGTTTGCTCTATCATAAGTCACTCTATAGTACCCTGTTTTTAAATATAATATTGTATAAATATAATATTATCTAATGATTTATATTTTCATAACATCGGAAAATAAAATTGTAAAGATATTTTTTATTTTTATCATAGAGAAATATATTTCTTTCATCGTGGATATTTTATCAGATATAATTACCAGTTTCTTGAATGTTGAAAAGTATCCACTCAGATGGGCTTACATTCAAATCGTTAAGGATGATCGAGCGTTCCGCTTTCATCCATTTTGTAGGTTGAGTGTTATTGAAATTTAATTGCTTTTCGCTCGTATAAGTGATAGGTACCCACCATAATGGTTCCGCTTCAGATGTGACGCTCGTGCCGCTATTACGTAGCAGAAAGCGTTCCTACGAAAAATAGTTAATGCGTATAAAACAATTATAAGTCGCTTAAAATATAAATAAGCATTCGTTAATCAAATATCCTACTATAATGTAATATTATATCATCCTACTATAATGTAATATTTTTATCATTTTTTTTAAATATCTGTGTGTAATAGAAGGTGTAACAGATAGAAAATGACTGTACGAACTAAACACATTGACTTTTATTTATTAAATTTATAATAAATCATACTTTATTCAATTATTATTTTATTTATAATTGTTGATATACCTGTGTTAGTGTAATACTCCCGTTGTCGTAGTTTCGTGTGACAGTAATTAAAGGAAAGCCAGTTTGCAGAGTCCAAGTATCCATTATTTCTTTAACGGATACACTTGAGTCAAGTACTTTGTCTTTGTAAGCTTGTTTGGTCAAAGCGGACCATAAATCATTTTGTTCGGCACTTTGATAGGCTCTGGATATACAAAAAGACAATAAATAATAAATTAATTATTTTTGCATTATATTAAAATTTATTTTAAAATATTTTTATTTATAGTTATAATTTATTTATAGTTATAATTTATTTATAGTTATAATTACGTTATAAAATAATCATTATTGATTAATCATTATTGATTAAAAAACTTACTAAATTACTTTATATTTAATTGAGCAGAAGTTTAAGATATCAATTAATTAATCTTTACTTACTTTCCATTTAAATAATTACTTAGACCTTTCTTGAAAACTTCTGTCGTGAGGAAATGATCCATCATTCTTATTATGGAAGCACCTGAGTAATTTTAACGTAGATATAGTTACATTAATTTCATTTAGAATCGTCATTCACGTAAATTGATAAGTACCTTTTCCATAAGAAATCTTGTCGAAGATTTCACTGATTTCATCTGGATGACCGACTTCAATGGATATAGGATGAGAAGATTCCAAAGCGTCTAAACCGAAAACATTTTGAAGATCGTGAACAACAAATTGTTCAAGAGCTTTCCACGTTGGTTCAACCTGTATGTTTTAAAGATGTAAAAAATTTATATTATAATATAATATACATATAAAATATATTTAAACATTCAAGGCATTTAACTTTTTCTATTGGGTTGTCCGGAAAGTTCGTGCCGACTAACCTATATAATTTAATAAATGTATACTAAAATTTAAATTTTCTGTGTTTCAATTTTCCTTCGAAGTCGACACGAACTTTCCGGACAACCCAATAAATCAAATTTTTTATCGTTAATTTATCAATGAAATGTTACACTATAATAGTAATTTTGACATTACATACAATATGTAATTCCGTTGATTAAAAGGCTTACCGCGTCCATGCCAATGTACTCCATATAACTGGCGAAACCCTCATTCAACCAAAGATCCGTCCACCAACTTGGAGTCACTAAATTTCCAAACCACTGATGCGCGAGCTCATGAGATACCACGACGGCTACCCGTTGCTTGCTACCACTGGTTGAGATGCCTTCTTGATACAACATCGCTGTCTCTCTAAATTGATGTAACAGCAAATTAATTATTTTCATTTCTTATACATTAATATGTATCTTTCACGTATGTATAAACTGATGTTACCTATAATGATATACAAATATCAATTACCTCAAAGAAGTTTTATAAATTTTGACCAAATACTATATTTTAGTGATATTTTTCTTTGAAAATAAAAAATTATTTATATACAAATTCTTTCTCTAAACTTAGTTTAAATCCATAATAAATAAAATATATTTGATAAAAGTTTTAATTAATGTTTAAATTAATCGTGAGTGAAGGTGTATACATTAGTGGTTTTTGTATTATGATAAATCTATTTGCAAAGAAACAACTGTTTTACTAATTTTATTAAATAAATTAAAAACATAAAAAGTAGAAGTATAAGAAAAATGTTGTTGAATTTTTTATTACGATTTTAGCTTCTAAATAATTTTAATTAAAAATTTGTCGATGTAAAAAGCTTCAGATAAAGCTAGCGAGCTTGGTGACACAAACATGTACGTGACATTCACGCATCACATGATTTGTTTTTATGCTCTTGGTCGCGATACTACTATGTTGTTATTAAAATAAAAATCAAGTAATAATAAAGATATTTTAATTCATCAATCATATATTATCTTCTCAAATATCAAATATCGAATATCAAATATAAATATTGTAAATCTAAAAATATATTATATATTTAAAAATAAGTATATACTGCGCGTTTAGTAAAATGACGATTTAAATTACTTTTATCTACCTAATAATGCACAAATTATTAGGAGTGAGTGGGAAAAATGAGGACAGAGTAAACGCGAACGATATTATTGCAGTGTGATTGAGTGATGACCTATTATTTCTCACATCCAGCGATAGTCCGATATATTCCTAATCTCACACTAATAATCATAGAACACACATTATTTAAGGTATACATAATTACATACGTATATAATACATATCTATATATATGCAATATTTATGCAGTATAATTGTATAGTATGAAACATATATATATATTGCAAAATGAAATCGATAATATTCTCTTATTTAATACAGTAATGAAGCAAATGTAATTATTAATCCTCTCTAAATGCATGATATTTACCTATATGTTATCAATCCCCAGTTCTCCATGGCACCGGCGGAGAAGTCAGGCAACGCGACCATATCCATCTTCGGCAAAGGAAATTTGATCTTGAAGTAGTCCTCGTAAAATTTAAGTATTTTCGGTCCAATATTCAAGCTATATTGTGATTGATTAATAGCATCGTGGCGTGCCCAAACTCTAAAGTTACCATCTTCCGATGTCTTTGCATCAAAATCAGAAACTATGAAGGCCACCAAGTACGTAGACATCGGTACCGAACGATCGTAACAATCCCATACGTACGAGTCTAAACCGGACCTGATTATTAAAAGATAAAAAAGAAAGTTTTTTAAAATTGCACAATACTTTTTAAAATAAATGTTCTGAAGTCGAATTTTTAAAAGAAATCGGTGTTAAATTATTTTTGATTGTTTTTGATTGTTACTTAAAAAACAATATTTTTTTAATTTGTGAACTTTGTCGAAGCTAAAATATGATATGTATTTTTTATAAATATCATAAAATAAACTTAATAAATAATTAACATTGCTAACAATATCACTTTAATTAAATTTTATGCGTTTCAAACACTTTGCGCTGAACAAAAATTGAAGTTATAAAAAGAAATACAATTAAATCACAAATTTCTATCATGAAAATTCTTCAGAGAAAATATGAACCAGATTTACAAATTGCCAAATGTATAATATATAATTACATTGGTATCGGTTCTCCTTTTCGGGGCATATTTGAAATAGATGTCATGTTTTTAGGACGCGCTATGTTGATTTGGAACTTGGCTTTCAAAGCCGGTTCATCGAAACACGGGAAAGCACGGCGCGCATCCGTTGGTTGAAACTGAGTCGTAGCAATCCATCTATAATGCAGAAACCAGATACCTTTGGCAAACAGTCGACAGGAGTCCTTGTTTAAGCCTGTACGTAAGCCAAACATGCGACCGCAGCAAGACTATACAAAGGATAATCACTCGCTCTACTCTCGAATCAAAACACTTTACGATGATAAGATCAAGTATGCGACAAAGTTAGAAATCAAAGGATTTAATAAAATAATTATCTTCCTTGCTTCTTTTTCTCGAAGAAATGAATTTAAATTTTGTCTTTCGACATATTCATATTTTATCTACCATAATTACTTGCTTTTTTATCTAATATTAATGTTTTGTAAATTAAAGTTTCTTTTTCTTTAGATTTTAAATTAACAAATTTAGCAATAAATAAAATGGATTTCTTTTAGAATGAGTTTAGATTAAATAGTACATTTAATTAAATCAATTAAAGCACGAAAGAATAAGTTTCAATTTACACAGACTACAAAGTTTCATTGCGACATCGTTTACCTCGTCTGATTGCCGACCGTATACGAACTCCTGTAGAAACCCTGCAGATAGTCGTTCAGATGGCCAATAAACTTGAGATGCACAACATATTGCTTGCCTTTCTTCAACGTGTTCGATGTTCTAATCACGTGAAATTGCCTGTCGGTGTCGTTTTTCTGCTCCGCGATCCCTATTAGCTTGGTTTTGTTGCTCTTAATCGAGTACTCTCTGACAGTCGTAAAATTCTCATCAATGTTCATATCGACAGCATGCAACGTAACATTATTCGTATCTTGTGTCACGTTTATTAAAATTTTCACCTAAACAAATCATTAATATTTCTGTATTAATAAAGCAACCTTTATATAGTAATATTATGTTAATATTATGCTTAATTTAATTTCAAGTGCTTTAATACTCTATTTTTATTATATAATTATGAAATGCTCATATGTTTTAATTATTTTATAATGTTCGAATTATCTTATATATAATATATAATATATAATACATAATATATTATATATAATATCTATATTTTAAAATTATATATAAAATTCTCTAAAAATATAAAATTTTGTTAAATTTAACCACGACCTTAGCATTCTCTTTAGTCTATAAAATACTTACAATTGTAATTCATATTAGACCGACAAGAATAAATCAATTAAGAAAAATAAATCTATTTTCAATAAAAATGGATCTTAGTGAATATAAATATTTCAAAATGAATTTACATTCTGCAAATCCAATTTTGCATATCGAGCACCAAAAATAAGTTTATTTCTCTTAACTGATTTATTCTCGTCGATTTAATACGAAATAACTGTTTGTACACGTCTCGAAAAACGATGTTTCTCTCATTAGTTACTGTTACTGGTTATTGTGACAAATATTGCCCTCGACAAATAAAGCCTCGGTAATCGAAAGAGGACGCCTGGAATACGAGAGATCCAGATTCGAATTCTGGCTGAGGCAATATTTTTCGCAATAAATTATATTATTTACAGTTCTTAAAAGTTCTGTTTAAATTGGCATCAAATTAATATCCTTTTAAAATGCTTTTTAGCATCAAAATTATTAATTGTTTATTGATTTAATATATGATAATGCAATTATACTTTAGTTCCGTTTATGATTGTGTTTCAAGATCGAAAAAGATTTCGGCGCGCGGTTTGCAGAATTGAATATGTAAAATAATATGATAAATTCTTTCATGCTTAAATTATTTAAACACTAAGATCCGCTTCGATCGAAACTACATTCATTTCTCTACAAGATATTTATTTAAATGTCCTCTTTGTATAGTAATTTGAACAATCTTTACAAGTCAGGACAAATAGAATTCGTAAGAAAGCAAAAGAAAACGAAACTTGGCAAAGAATTAAGATCAGAACACACGTGATCTGCCAAAGCCTATTTCTCATGAATCCCACATATGAAAGTGAATGGTTGCGTCAATCGCTAGGCGCGTCTCTCTTCGTAACAGTGTGGCAGTAACAGCTTACGTATAGAATTGCGAATTAAGTACATAAAAAAAATTACACTTTTAATTCTCAATAGAAAGTAGGAGCATTTATAACGTAATCAAACCGGTTTATTTGCCAACAATTTAAAATTGTAAAAAATCTCTTAATATGTCAAAAAAAGATATTTCGATAAATAGTTAATAACATTTTACATTAAATACAACAATCCATTGACAAACGTAAAATATTGTGTTAATGTATTTCTAAATAAATGTCTAAATGATATAAAACAACAAAATATCATATAATAATAAATAATAATAAAAAAATATATAATAACAAGTCAAAGTCATAAGTCAAAATAAGTGATAAAATAACAATAAAATAATCTATAACAAGAAAATACATTTTTTTACAAAAAAAATTATGCACAAGAGATCTAGATATTCAGATTGTTTCTTCGATAACGATAATAGATATAATTTTGAGAAAGATAGAACCTTTCTTGTAAGTTTTATCGAGAGAAATTTAAATAATCTTGGCATTTTGCCGTATCTATCAGCGTTTCCAAATTTTAATGACCTTTTTATTTAACTTGTACGTAATTTTGTTACAGAACATAATGTTTTTGTGTTAATCTGTAAATTCTATAAAAAGTTATATTTAAATAAGATCCGATAAAATAACAAGTGTAAAACAGTTGTTGAGCAGTTGCAGTTTAGTTTAGCAGTTGTAGTTTAAAATTATTTCTCTTTTGAAAAAAAAAATTAAAAAATAGAATACTATTACTAATAAAATCTGTTCATAAATAGAATTTTTTCTATTTGTTACAAAATATATTATACATAAATATAACAAAATAAAGTATTACCTCGCCGTGGAAGGTGAAATTGCCCTCCCATATAAAAGGTATCAGCCATAATTCGTACATATCAGGCACGATAGCCTTTGGTAATCTGACATCTATTTTCTTCTTTGTTGATGTCATCGAAAAACTCCTTCCTGTCGACAAGAGCGAATCGCCAGCAGAGTCCGTACATGGCTGAACATGTTTTTCCTCGAGACAAGGTGCAAAGTGGTACACCAACAAACCAGTGACGACCAAGCTGATTAGAAAAAATGCGCCCAGGAGGAAGGCGTTACATCGGGAAATCGCGCAACCTTTTTTGCGCCCGAATGTAGTTGTATGTGCGTCCATCATCGCTAGAACCTCACGAGACTGAGTCATATCATGCGTGAGCCTGAAAAGAAAAAGACATGCTTTTAATTTCACTTTTTTTAATTTATGCTAAATTATTGTTTAGTAGTTTATAAATTTAGTTTATAAATGAATTAATATTATTTTTCTTTACTCTCTTATGTCATCAATTTATTTGATTCTTACTTAATTTTATCGCATCTTTATATTTATTGTTATATACCTGCACATTAATAATTTTAATAAATCCTATATATAATGCAATTATACTACCAATTCTCAGTCTGTGCCTTTTTAAAATCTTTACTTTTGTAATCTTATTATTTGTAAAAATTTCTATTATTTAAATAAAAATTGTATTAAAATAAAATTGTGTTTTCGCGAAATGTAAAATATGTGTATAAAATTGATTAATGAGATTTTGTTATGAAGAAATTGCAAGAATCAAGTATAGCGTCATCATAATTACTATCGCAGAAGATCACGTGCTTTAATTAATGATTATATAAGTATATAAGTATATAAGTGTGTGTAAAAGTGTAAATATATAGAAGTCTAAAAGTAATAATAATGGAAGTTCTCAGTCACTTTAAATCTATTATATATCAGATCTACATTTGTATGTCTGTTATTTCTTGTGTCTGCAAACGTAAAGTGGAAACATTCCTACGAAAACAAAAGTATTCGAATACATACATTTAGAATCTTTTACAATAAGCTTCCAAAGTTGGTCAAAAAACATTTGCAAAAATAAAGCAGTACATCTCACGATTACTGTTAAATCGATATGCCTAATCAACCTTTTTTTAACGATGCAAAAGGGAATATATATTTAATTTTAATTATTTTTTTACACGTTTCTTTTTTTTAAATCTACAATTATATTTTTAACTATCTACAAACATTCACATAAAATGTTACACAAATATGTTTCAATATTTTTCTTGCACAAGAATAAGTATAAGTTTTTTATTAATTATATATATAAATATTCATTTTAGTTTATATATAAAAAATAGATAAATGTTTAAAAACATTTATAAGATAGATACAAGAAAAATAAAATTAGCTATGAAGATTCTTACCTAACATTTTAGATAGATATTCTATACAAATATACATGCATATAATCATTTGAATCTTGCACAATTGTGCAAGATTGAAATATTTCCTAATTGGCAAAATTATCAGTCAAGCACGTTAAAACAAGAATGACAATTTTAATAAGATCATTATATCGGAAGCTTTTTATCTTGCGTAAACCGGGTGAAGGCAACCGATCATTGAAAGTAATTTCACGTTCCAAACGGTTCGAGTGAGCGTGTCAAGGAAACGCGAATGCCATGCTTGAATTAATGTAAGGTTCTTACACCGACGAACTGTCGTAAAATAATCTTACAACATAATCCTACGTGCACTAATCGCATGTAATTTGAATTAAACATGATTTTTATGCGAATAAGCCGTATAGAAGCGTTAAAATATAGCCGTATAGAATTAAAATTAACACAATCAGCCTATATATATAAAAACGTTTGATAAAATTCATGCTAAATAAAAGAAATATATATCGTACAATATTATATAAAATTTAATTATTCAAACAATATTGGCATATTTATTTTAATTACGCGAGATAAATTATATATTTTTACGTATGCTGTCTAAATTGTATTTATTTATTTATTTATTAAATGAATAAACACTGCTCTGAAAGCACAGCAAATATTTAACATCATAAATCAAATGCGTGTGTCCAAGTAGAATAAAAATTATCATGACATGATATCAATATAGATTTAAAATGATTTTAAAGAGTTACTTTTATATTAGTCATTTATCATTTTGATATTGTGATTATTGTTCTACTTGGACACGTGTGTTTTCCATTTACATTTTGTCGGTGAATTATCATACTTGTTGCACCTGTATATATTTTATATTTCCGCAAACGTTTGCGAAACAATCAGCGTCAATTTCACGTCGCAAACAGTTGTGAAGTATATATTTCAGAAGTCTGCGATGGCATTGCAGTCTCCTTCGACACAATGTCGCATCATGCCCACACTTCGTGCTGCTAATAATAAGATTTATCTATCGCGTTTATACTCTTAGGACAGGAAAATTGATTGCAGATTTCCTGGACACTCAGGTCCCACTATTGCCGCGGATTACAAAAGACTCTTGCATAAGAAAACGACTTTTTACCGTTTCTCTGTTCACATCCTCTCATTACGATGCACCATTACTCAAGGTTATTCAAGGTTATTTAAAAGATATTTTAAAAGATATTATGTATTCATGTTCATATTCAAAGAACACCTTTTTTTACCTTTTTAAAGAATATATGGAAATTTAAATAACTATGAAATAAATCTAATATATTATTTAATTCTTATATTTAATTTTTTTTCTTACCGAATGGAATAATTTTGATATTTTGGATGAAAATGATAAAAATGACACCTGGAGTTAAATCGGCATCAGAAAACACTGACTATAGTCTCACATCTAGGTTCAATGATTTACGTATATTTTTGCGCAAATAATGACGTTACAAATTCATACACACAATTCTAATAACATCGAGATTATCATGAGATTATGTGTACGCCAAACGTTGTCAACGCAAAGTAAGAAACAAATTCCAAAGTAAGAAACATTTTCCGACATCGTACGGTAAAGTCGATCAATATTATGAACTTTGTTTTTTCTTGAAACCGAATGCTGAACTCACACAATAGATATCTCTCGAACTCGTGGCTATTTGGTCTTCTATTCCACGTCACTTTATATCATCGAACATCGATCGGAAAACAGGATTACTATCGGCAACGAAAACGCTCCGCTCCGCTCGATGGTTCGCGCGCAACTGCCAAGAAACAGGGCGCAATACAGCTTCGTCGCTTCCTCTCCTGGTCATCCAGGTTTCCTGATCATTGCCGCGATCGTTGTATCAGCCAACACGTCCTTCCACCTGCCAGATGGATCACGTACATGTCGCTTTCCAAATCGCGGGATACCGTACGAGCGGTATCCGGTTTGTCGTAACAACGATCGTAACGATCGATATTCAAAGGAAGGCATGTCTCTCTCTCTCT